TGTACATCTTATCACAAATTGGCTGAATTAGCAAAGTTTCTAATTACTATCTGAGATGGTGATCATCACTGAAATCCTCATGCCTTTTGCCTGTCTTATGTCATGATGAGATTTACAGCATTTCTGGCACAAAGGCGGAATTAGTTCCTTGCAAATGGCAACTGTTAAAACACTAATGTTAAAACAGCTAGTGGTAGCCACCACTGCTGTATGACAGTGAGTCATTAAGTTCTTTGATGACATTACCTGATAAAAGCTGGGAACGGCCTTTTAATCATAAAAGCTTAGAATCAGTTCAGTATCAACTCTGCTCCAAATACAAAATGGGTCCACAGTGAGACACCTCTCCAAAAAAAGGACCCCTCTGTTTCACATGCGACAGAGGACAGTGCAACAAGCCTCCCCGCCTCACACACGGCCCGTGCAACGCAGACAGGACCCATGAGAACAGGCTAAGGGAATAAGCTTGTTTATCATGAAGGCTTCAGAGAGACCTAAGAGCAGTCTGTTAGTACCTAAAAGGAGGTTACTGGGAAGATGGAACCAGGCTTTTTACAGATCTGCATGGCAGGAGGACAAGCAACAACGGTCTGCCCTTAATTTCGTGTCTTATAGTCATGATCATTCCCTTCCTACATCATCAGGAAGTTCTGACTTTTTAGGTAACCTGGTTCCTAGATAAGTTATTTTTACTTTGAAGAAATCTATTTTTTGCCTCCTCCTCCCATGAAACAATTATCACAAGTCATCATTCTCTGGGAGCATTTCTGAAGGAGTCACTGTACTGTCTTCTTTTTAACCCCTTACAGTAGAGGGTCTCCAGTGTTTTGAGGGAATGGCTGGCCCCACTATTCTCCTCCCCCTCTCATGTTACAAAAGAACACATGAGAAAGGTTAAATGATACTGAAACATAAGAACAGAGCCAGATAGAGACCGATAAATTCATGACACTAATGATATCTCATGTTTAAGGAGAGGTCTATGCAAATTTTTTCTGCCTTGAAACTGAGCTAACATAAAATCAACTGCTGGTCAGTTGAATCCTCTTTCATTTCTTCCTCTCCTCAGTATTATTTCAAGCGTTTCTGAGGTTGTCACTTGTATTTAATTTCATTTTGATACTGCAGACTTGCAAACTAGATTTATTTTATGACAAGTTAGATGTTTCAAAATAATTGAGCTGCAGAGTGGAAAAAATGGTATTTAGCATATGGAGTTTGTGTAATCTAAGAGTACCCAGAATTGAGTTGATCAGCAAAACCAATTTGATTTTAGACAAAAGAATAGGAAACACTCTCCTTAAAAACCTGTTCCTTCTTTCAGAAGCCTTCCTATAAATTATAAAATCCCATCGTAGCAGTCTGTCCCTATTTGGTAAAATGCTTAAACACGTCCTGAAGGAAATACGTAACTGTATCCTGGTAACTTCAGCGAAGACAGATCTCCGTGTTGACTTAAATAGGACAAGCTTAAAGATAAGTATTTGTCTACGTGCTTTGCTGACTAGGAGAGAACACAAGTGATATCATAAGATGATCATTCCTGAAGTGAAGAGTAAGGGGATAAAAAGGTGATGGTTGAGCTAAACATCTTACAAACAGAAGGACAGCTTTTTATTGTACTTTCCACTGCTGTCCCAGACTGTGTCTCAGATTTCTGCACACCTTTTTTTAACTCTCACAAATCATCTGAAAAGGTGATGGATTATATATTCACATATCTGGGCTGTTATTTAGAGGTATAAAAGGAAACTCTATTAATTTGCTTATTTTACTCCCCACAAATTTCACAGGCCAACTATATCCTGCAAAAAGCAGCACCTCAGGTTTGACAAAAATAGTGTCATTTGGAAAAAATAAAATCAAATAAAAATAAAATACCCAGGTATTTTAAATTTACAGATTTATAGGAGGCAAAATCTGTGGCCAGCAATAATCACCTGCCCTTTAGTCACCTCTAAAAAGAAGGCAGAAAAGCAAACTTACTTCTACTATATTTATTTTCTCTGAAAGAATAAAAAAGAATTTAAAGAATGTGAAGAAAGAACTTACTTTCAGTGCAAATAGGACAGCATCCTTTTCTGTTCAGGATTTTACCCTAATTGGGAGAAAGACAGGCTGATTTAATGAAAGAGGTTTTGGAGCAATGACTGTGTTATGTTGTAAGGCTGGATAAGCCTTTGAAAATAGTTCAAGTTTTGTTTGAACTCAATGCCCTGGTTACAGCTTCAAATATCAGGTGCTAAAAACAGACAGAACTATTCAAAGAGCTTCCTGGCAGTCTTATAAGAAATGAAATGCTAAAAGGGTTCTCTGTTGCCACTTTTCTCTTTAGGGAGAGTGAGAGAATTTTGGACTCATGTATTCATGGATATCTAAAGCAGACTAGTCATTGGGTTAACAAAACCGCTACCTTTTCCCCCACTTCCCCAAATATATACAATATATTTCCTATGCACACCCTTTTAGTTGCCACACAGAGGCAATCTGCTCCACACTCTCCCCCACGCTCCCCCCAAATCATTCATTTTTCCTACAAAAAGGAAGGAAGGAAGGAGGCACTGGTAGAGATCTAGTTTAGTCAGGTTTCTTTCACGGCTAAATCTTGTGATATCTCTCGCCAAACCATATTACCAATAATGGACCAATCTCCCCAGTGAAGTAAATGGGCATGCATTCAAGGATGTGCAACATCCAAAAGCAAACAATTTGGTCTAGTCATAGTAATATGGACAAAAGGTTTGAGTCTTTGTTTACACTCTCCCCATACCAATTTTAGTTACAGTTCTGTCTGATATAAGGCTGGCTAGAAGCAGGAGGCATGCCTCTGTCTACATACATTCCTG